GACTCTTTTCGTAGGTTTGAGCATCTACTTGTGATAATCTGCCACCTAGTCTTACAGCCAGCTCCTGCTCGTAGATGCACGGTCGAAGCATGCGTCCAGTCGGTCCTGTGTAGTTTTGAGGACAGCGATTCGGTTATATACACACCTGGAATACGAACATTCGACTCAATTTATGAAAAAAAACCGTGGGAACGGGCTGAGTTCCACTTACTGCAAACGCTGTGGTTATCTAGAGCAACAAATTGATTGACAGCTTTCCTTGCAGGATATATATAAAAAGCGAAACACCTCAAAGTGGTACGTGCCAACTGCGGACAGGATGAAGGATGTACACCAGTAACTCTGCATTACCGTAAACCCGATATGGTACGTGATATGAAACTGGACCCTTTTCCGAGCCCAAGAACGGATATGCATAGACCGCTTCCTGCAGTCGTAACGATGGTTGCGAAACCGTGTCAAATGAGACGATTCGCACATGTGACGATAATATCACAAGAAGAGTCTTCTGTAGAGTCTAGTAGCAATTATAGTGTGTAGGGAATCATCTTCGGTTCCCGCCCTGTAAATGCAGTGATGCTAGCCTTAATCCGATTATGATACCTAAATAGGGAGGGGGGGCAAGGGAGAAGTGACGAGTCAAAACTCTGGCTTGAAACGGTTCATTCTCCATTTGTAACGATAAAGTTCCCAAACTGCAAGAAATGCCCTCATTTTTAACGAAGTGTGTTCATTGAGTCCGCTACCATGGATCCCCAAGCGACAGTTACTGTATGATGGCTGGATCAGACGTAAGTGAAGGCATGCAAAGTACAACTTGTATGGACCTGGTCGACTCAGAAATCTTCCCCTTCGCCCTTCTTTACATATTAGTTTAAGCCTAATCACTAGAATGCCCTTTTGCGGTATATGAGAGGTGTCGATTTTGTCCTGAGCACATTATGCAATAGGAGTTTGCCAGAGACTTAACTTGCCTTCAATGCGTATTATCTGATGGAAGCTTTCATACAATCCACCGAAAAATTTTAGTTCACACCTAGAAGGTTGGAAAATGTGACCGATAAAGGGTTGGCTTTCAAGCACTATTCTGGAAAACTGCTATTGGTGTATAAATGAATGAAAAGAGAAAATTTTTCGGTAATGCGAACGTACTACCAGGGAGGGGAGTTAACCCCGATGTTTACACCAGCCATTTCCGCAGTGATATGCAAAACTTGTAATTTAAATACCGTCTTCTTTCAAAAGAAGATACATCCCAGTGTGTGGTTTATTATCCCGCCACTCGGTAGATGAATTCTTGGCAGATACTCGGGAAGAGGGAGACTGGTAGAGGACCGAAACCATTGATTTTGTTGGATTCCGAACTCCTGCAGCAAAAACGGCACAAGTGTCAAGCATAGGGATCTTTAACCAATCAACCTACAGATAACGCTGATGGTCAATATTTGACACTTGTAATCTCTGATCCTTCAGGATGACTGTGCTCAACTTTCCGCCACAAGAATAAATTATATGTTACTATGCTACTCAATATTTCATAGTAACATACTTTTTTAACTCGAATAGTTGTATGCAGGTTTTAATACGGTCTTCAAAGGCAACGCTTTTTACCCTCAAGTATACTACATTTAACTAATAGTGTGGCAAATCGGCAGATGACTGCACTCACAAGGTGCATATGCATTCGAGTATTGCTATCTTCCACTTTAGTGGCAAAGAGAGGATTCGACTTTCGCCGCAGAATTGTGACGAATTGGAATTATTACACCCGAGTGGGCTACTTGTATGCACCGGCTTAGTTCAACACCTAACAGCCGGGTAGCTGTGCCGTTGACTGGAGACACCCTTCCGTTTACTACCCTCCCCCTCCCCTCTGACTTGCGTTTGAGTATAAAATACTTTCAGACAGTCAGTTCTAATCTTCCTATGCTATCCAGGACGGAGTTCCGGCTAAAATATGACTGAGTGAGGCAACCATTTCTGGCTTATTAGACGTCATCAGCCGGTCATAGAGCAGCCACAAGTTTCGATGACCTGGGATTTAAACACGGACTTTTTTGGTCATTGGGCATGCCGTTCAACGCCCTTTTCTTGAATCGACTTTCCGGGGTCCTGTTGGTTGTGATCAGACTATTCATAATCGTCGTAATCAAGCGTGGTCTCCAGCGTGCTGGTCATAACATGAAGCCACTATCAAACTGCAACGGGGTCAATCCAATCCGGATGGGATCTCAAATGTGAAAGAGAGAGAGAGATAGCGTAGGGTATTCCCTACACTACTTACTTGTACTTGA